ATCTATGGTGCCCCAAAAGTTTAATTTGGGATCTGTGGGGCCCCAAAATTTTAATTTGAGATCTGAGTTGCCCCAAAATTTTAATTTGGGATCTGTGCCCTAAAATTTGATTTTGGGAGCTGTGGTGCCCCAAAATATACTGCGGACAGACGGACGCCAAAGTGAAACTATAAGGCTTTCGGCCATGGGCCACGAAACCCTAAAAAAGGTCAAGTACACGTCACCCTTTGTGGCAAATATCGAGTTTATTCCATTGTACACGGAGAGAAAAATCTGCCTTTTATAGTATGAAATAGATTGCTGCTATTTTTCTTTAAACTTTTCATACTAATAGAGCAAAGATTTGAGTATTTTTAGGATAGTATTTGTCCGTACTAAAAAAGCATAGTATATATGCTTCTATAGTACGAAACATGTAGTTTAATAGCAACAACGCCATGCGGAGATTGCACATAACATCATCCTACTATGTTTGCATAAATTCTATGCTTTTTCGGGGATAGACTCTTGCAACTGGCGATTAGGCCACGCCCACCTTTACTGAATTGGAAGTAACTGTGTGAATACTCACACAAATGCACGTGACGTGTGGTTAGTGTTCGTTGCGCGCACGACTTATTTTTGTATTTCATTTGTATATATACATCTATACCCTTTAACGCCGAAATTAGTCTCTATTATGTAATTAATATTCTAAAGCTTTAATGTTAGATAAAATAATTATAAAAGGAAATTAGAAACTTTAACCTCTTATCAATTAAAATATTCGCATGGACAAATTACAAAATAAATTTGAAGTTCTAATTTAAGTCAACTTTAAAATTAAATTTCTTAATTAAATTCTTAAATTAAATTGCTTTCAAAAATTATTATAGGGCAAATTTTTCAGAATTTTGATTGTTTTGTTTAGAGAAATTTTTAAAAATTCATATTTTATTGAAAAATAAATTTTAAAACTTATTTTCACAAATTCTATATCCGCAGGCTTCACAGCATAAAATTTGCTACAAAAAGGGGAATAGGGGAAATTTTGTTTCAAAAAAGGGGGAAAAAGGGCAAAATATAAATTTATATTTTCCTTAACCCAAAATGCTTTAAAATTCACTACCGATGAAAATTTTGAGACCACCCATTTTCTTGATGAATAAAAAACGTTTTAAAACATAGAAAGTATAGAAACCAAAATTTTTTAAAAGATGATTTCATAGAGAAAAGTGCGATTTAAAAAAGAAAATTTTCTTAAATTTTTTTTTAAATGTCATTTTCAATATTTTATAAAATAGATATTTTTTATTTTTAATAAATTTTATTAGTTAACAAATATTTCATAATAACATATTATTAACATTAATATTAACATTAATTATTTTAGAACTTAAATACATTTTTTGTAATTCTTTATAATAAGAATGTTTCACAGGAACATTTTCAAGAACTGTTTTTTTAAACTTCAGAATTAAACAATGACAAATATTCAAATAGTAGGAAAAATTTTGAAAAATAATTTAAAGTTACTTTAAAAATATAAAAAATCCCAAGGCATTGTAAAAATTATTATTCGAATTCAGAATTTTGACAAGTGTTTTAAATAATAACATTTTTGAAGAACTTGATTAAAATACTATTTAAAAAAATAATTTATTGATTGAAATTGTAAATTTGAATTGCTAAAATTATTGACAAAATTTTTAACAGTAATTGAATTTTAAAGATTTTTTAATAAAAAAAATTTAATTTTTGAAAAATTGAATTAAAACGATTGAAATAATATTAATTTCACGAAAAATTTGGAAGAAACATATTTAAATTTTTCAAAAATAATTAAAATCTAAGGAAATATATAAAATGAATTTTTGAACTAATGAAGATTTTTTACAAAGTTCAGAAGATAATTGAATTTTAAAAAATGTTTAATTGAGAAATGTGGTAATTAATGGAATTTATGAAGGCTCCAATTAAAGTTATCAGAAATAATTAATTAAACAAAGAATGTAAATTAAAAATTTGAAAAATTATTTAATGTTAAAATAGTTGAAGTTATAATTGTTCAAAATAATTGAATTTCAGGAGATTTTTTATCAAAATTTTCGTAAATTTAAATTTAAAAATAAAATTGAATAAAATTAAATTAAATTTAAAATTAAATTTAAATAGGGGAAATGAGTGAAAAAAGGGGAAATATTCATTAAAAAGAGGAAAAAAGGAGAATTTTTTAAAATACAGCAAAAATTGGGAATAGAGGAAGCACTATGAAGCCTGTATATCTATAATTCTAAATAATATATAATTCTATTCCAAAAATTTAGCATGATTTATCACAAGTCCTATAATTTAAGATAAAATAAAAATGTTAAATACGTGGAGAAAGCTTTAATACAATATTATATTAATATTATATTATATTTTGCTCAAAATTCTTTTCAATTATGATATCTAAGACAGTTTAAAACAGTAGAAATTATAAATAATTAAAAATATTTTTTTAAGAAAATAAGCAACCTTTTATTAAAAAATGTACAATTAATTATAAACTTATTTCAAAGATGAAAAAAAAATTATTATAAAATAATACATGTACGCCCAAAAAAGAGAATATTTGATTTAGATAATGTTAATCAGGATGTCTGACACGTTTGCCAAAGAAATTACAGGTCTTTTCAAGAATTTCAAGGTAAAAAGGTTTCTAGACATCCTAAATTTAAATGTCATATTTAGTGGCTACAAATTTATTTGCAGATTTTGTAATTAGTAAGCAAGGTGGTGACCGAGGTATGATCTCAACATTTATTAATATATTTGTTGGATTGTCCACAAATTGTACACAATATGCATGAAAATGGTGATGGAAGTAGACTGTTTCAAGTTCTTCCAGTTGAAGGTAAACATTTTTACAATGGAAAATATTTTTGATAATTCCAAATTGAGGACCATTTTCCGATATTCTGCTCAGGATTACTGTTCCTGGGGAAATTTTCCTCCCAAGCACTTGAATGCTTTTTAAGGTGAATACAGGTAATTCGTTATGCAAAGTCGGAATTGATTTTTTTAAAAGGCTGTGTGCATTTAAACTTTCGATTTCTCCAAGTGTAACGTCAGTTTGAACAGGTGCACAAAATTTAGTTGCAAAACATAATTGTAATTGGTGTTTGGTTGCTATGGTTAATGGTAAATTGATGTTTGATGCAGTTCCCACAGCGATTTCTTTAAGCTCTCTATTTTTTCTCTCAAATTTCATTGAGGAGAAATGCACAACAGGTCCGAATAACAATATTATTCTCGGGTAGTGCAACAAAAAGTGCATTTTTGGTTTTAATTTCCCGAACAAATGACGATATTGTTTATTGTGCTTCCTTATGATTTCCTTCAAATTCTGTACTTGCCCTCTGTCTAACGTAGGAGACGTTGCTTAATTTTTAATTTTTGACCTCCCTTTTTCCCTGTAGAGTAATATAGAGGCCTTGGTTTATTGGAAATTTCTGTTTCATTAAATTGAAAAGTTTCAATTCGGTTATTAATAGTTTTTAAACTTATTTTTTCTGAAGACATTATTCCTTCTGTTAATTTTGACATTGAATAGATCGCAACTCCTTCCGGCATATCGTGCATAAAATCTACAGACTGATTTTCGGCAATATGAAAATTGTTTATTTTATTAAAAATGCATTCTTCTTTGATCGAACTTTCCACACATTTTTTTTCTGCAAATTCCTTCTCATAAGATTTTATATCTCTCAAGAGAGATTCGTCTTCTTCTAACATTTCTTCGCACTGGGCACTTGAAGCAGTACAAAGTCTGCAATAATATTTTGATCGAAAACCGTCGGGAAATACACATATCATATTTTGTCCTAAATTGTCACCTAAAACTTGTACGCATTCAAAGTAAATTGTTCGACATATTCCATTTAAATTTATTTCTATACCCGTTGTAGACAAGAAATGAAGGTCTTCAATAGACTTTTTAAATATTCTTTCATTTCCGAATGTTTTTAGGTGTTTGGAGTGAAAAATTGTAGATACAAAAACATTTTTCAGTTTAGCAGAAAGATGTGGAGGAAAGCAAGCAATCGAAACGTAGACACCACCTAATTTTTCTTCTCCTGCATGGCTCCCTAAAGGGTTCCGAGTTTCAAACTCATCAAAATACAAATATACTGGAATAATGATTTTACTTGAATTACTATACTTTCTCAACCATAAATCTCCTTGTACAACATTTGACAATTTTCTTGTATCTTTCCTTAAATCATTAATATATTGAAGTATTGAGTCCAACACATCTGGTACTGAAAGAGCAGTTTCCAACGAACTTTTCAATGGAATATATGCTGCGAATTTAGATTTCATTTCGACACTCACACCTTTATATGTCGTAACGTACGTCGGTTCTTGTCCGATTTCGTAAAGTTGAGGAGGTATATACGAACATTCTTCCTCATACACTTTGAATCGTAGATGCTCAGTGGAAAATTTGTTGAAAACATCCAGAACATTTTCTAGAATAAATTGAGATTTCGTATATGATATTTCGGTCGATATTGGTTTCACATGAGTTTCCATTTTCTTTTGAATAAAAGGAATAAACGTTTTAGAAATAAATTCATTAAAAATTTGAATAACGTCATTCGCAGATTTTCGAGAAAGATACGGATTATTATACAAGGAAAGTGTGAATTTTAATATTTCTCTATCGATGTCGTTTTCGTCGATATTTTGAAAAACTTGGGACAAATCCATTGTAATATTTAATATAAGTTAAACACAAATTTATTTCACATGACTTCACGTAACGTAAAAGTATGAGTTATCATAAATCTTAAACTCTTAAAACGTCGCTTGACAATGAAAACATAAGAATTTTTAATTCTTATTTACAACAATTTTTTTTTCAAACTAAACTCTTGATATTTTAAACAGTTATAAAATTTACATTAAATAAATGTAATTTAATTTGATTTTACATAAGATTATTGTTAAAGCAATAAAATTGAAAGAACTTGTATTATTAAACTTGTTTAAGTTTATCTATCACTTGGCTTACTGCTCCATACAAGTTTGCAACTTCAAATTTATATACATATCTCTCCAAAAACTGCCATAGGTGATTACACACATTAGAGAAAGATTTTTTAAACACTTTAACTGATTGAAAGCACAAATTCAAAGCTTCTAATGTATTTGTTACTTGATACGTATGTTTTCCAATAACCACATACGCGGATGATATTTCGCTGAGACTCGGGCCATGAATTACAACATATGGCTCTACAGTCAATTTATGATCACTATGCAGTTTTTCTAATTTAGTGGATACTTCTTTTAGAGAATTTCCAATATTATCTGTTTCCTAAAAGAAGTATTTAATTAGAATAATTTATTATATAGATAAATAATAGTATTTTAAAAATATTTTCAAATAAAAAACTCTTACCTTCACGTGATAAATAAATGTACTTAACACTTCTGCTTTTTCTGGATTCCAGGACTTTCCTGTTTTTGATCGACATGTAAGTTTGGTGATTTTTTTAAATAAGAATGGCAACAATATTAATGCCAAAACGTTGTCATCAGCTGAAAAAATAGTAATTATCAAATTCTTAAAATATACAACCAATCAATAACTTTCATTTCAGAGTTTGATTTGATTTGTAATATTTAAATAACTATAGAATCTCACATTTTAAAATTTTCAATACACCAAAAAAATAATTTACACAATAATATGAAAATTAACTATCTCAGAAAATGCCAGAGTACATAATATTAAGCAATATGTATTTTAAAAATAACCTCACAAAATCTTTAAAAGAAAGTCATTTAATTACTCTTAAAAATATTTGAAATTATACACACCACTAGTCACACTGTTGTATTTTTGAAAAATAGCCCTAATGTCCTTGTCAGTCTTTTTAAGTTTTGCAACTTTAATGATTTGCTGAGCAACAGAGGGCCAGTTGTCTTTGAATATATTATTATTTTTTTCAAAAAAAATGGAGAAGTCTGCCTGAATCTTTTAAATATAACAAATTTAAAGGCTATGGCTTTTAAAATAAAAGTATTCTTGTAGGTTGATTTAAAATTATGAATGAAGAAACACTTACTAATGTATAGCCCAGTGGATGTTGTAAAGCGGGAAGTTGTTGGAAAATAGTATTGTAATCTGATTTACTAAAGAATGCAATTTTTTCCTCTTTGTCAGTCGAGATCCAAATTTTCATATAATCGTCATCAATAATGTTCACGGGTGTTTTTAGTTCGTTGAATTGTTCAGACGAACATTGATCTGAAACAGATTTATTAAATAAAAAAATTAAATACATGGAATTGGGATCAATAAAAACACTTAAAGATAAAGTACATCTTAATGTCGAGAAAAAATGAAAGTAAAGTTACCAACGTTTCTGTCAACTCAATACAACAATTATTTTTAAGACTAAAAAGTGAATAATTTTTTTTTAAAAGAACACAATTATTACCCTCGTTACATCCTAAACAGATTTCAAATCCAGTTAGGGTAAAGAAGACAATATTTGTACAAGAAAAAATTAGCTTTTAGGTTTAATTAAACATTAATAAGTAAACAATAATAACTTCAGTTCTATGAAAAATCCTGTAAAATCATTTAAATAGTAATATAATATTTTCAGGCAAATATCTATCAGTATAGTGTGAGCTGAATTTTTTAAATATCCATTATGTGCATGTTATAAGTGTTCAGTAATATATTTACCTTCATTTCTTTTTCTTTTACGATTTCCCGATTTTTTCACAATATCTATTGCAATCGCCTTTTCTCGTAATTTGGCATAAAAACTTTGAAATGCTCCATGAGGGCCAGAATTCTTATCAGCGGGAGAATAGAAACTTTCTTGTAAATAGGTAGGAAACAGTTGTGCTGCACTTGAAGCTAAATTTCCGAATCTTTCAGAAGTTATCCTATAAAAAAGATATATAAAATTACATCAATATACGAAAAATAAGCCGAAACGTATACACTACTTATAATATATTTTGTATGATAATTAAGAATATTTATGGTAATTTATTTAAATAAATTTTTTACACTTACGAATAAGATCTTGTGCGACGAACTTCGTGAAATATTATTAACTTTGCGATTTTGTGAATCGAAAAGTATGTTTCCTTTTTACATTCTAATAAACGCTTCTTATTTTCCTTATTCTGTTCAAAATCATATGCTGCTATTTGGAATACGCCTTCACCACTTTCTATTAACACATGGTAAACATAATTGTTGAGTCGAGGATTTTGTGAACCTGAAAAACATTTTTTTAACATTTTTTTTAATTAATATGGTTTCTTAAAAGATATATGTTAATTATAATAAATTTCTTGTTATTAATACCTTCGTTCCTAATTAATTCAGATGAATTACTTGGACTCTGATAATTTTGATATAATGAGCCACTTGGTGTATCAATTAATAAAATTTCGTTGTTGTGACAATTCTGGTTTATGTTACCCAACGAAGTAGTTACATGAGTTGGAGTTTCAAGTTGGCAAGCAGTGGAGTATTTAGAATATGAATCTGATTGTAAAGTATGGGTTGCATTAGTCAAATTGTGGTAGGTTCGTCCTTCTGAATCGTTCGATTCGTCTAGATTTGAAGTATTTGTTAAAACAAAACATACATATTTATATATATATATATATATATATAGTCAATTAGACACATTCAAGAAAAAGGCTTCAGAGATGAAAAATAATTTTTTTAAAAATATTTATTCCCGTTAGGGGACAATTAAAAAATATTTGTTCTTAGAATATAAAAATATTATACGGTAATTTTACATTGTTACCGAAATATTCTATTAAATTTTCTTATATATTCAATTATTTAATAAAAACAAAGTTTCAGAAATGAAATTGAATTTTTACTCGGACCAATATTTAAAATTTGATTATTTATAAAAGCAAAATTTCTCTTTCTTTTTATAAATAACATGTGGGAAAAGTAAATATCAGACTCTCAGCTTTATTTTGATGTGCATTAAAATTTTGTTCAGGTTATTTTTAATATGTAAAAATATCATTAATCTTCGTGAAATAATTTTAACCTAAAACACACGAAAAAAAAGTCTTACATTAAACCTGACTTTGGGCTTGATTAAATCTGCAACAGAAACAAGCCCGGCTAGACGATGACAAACTTATACAAAAGAAATGTAAACAAGAAAGACAAACAATAGCCTGAAATACAAACTAGACTTTTTTTCCTGTGAACTAAAGACACAGTTTAAACACTTTTATCATGTATAAAACTAATATCTAAAAATGTTTAAAATGCACATAATAATAAAAAAACATTGTACTCTCTGACACTATTTTTTTTTAATTTTTAAAGTTTGAAAAATCCAATAAAAATTTAATTTTCTTCTAGAAGTACCATTGGAAACACATTCAAAGGCTTCAGAGATGTAATAATTTTATCTATTGTATAAATTCTGGTGAATAAAATTGATAAATTTTTTTTAATAATAAGTGCTAAATTTTTACTATGAAAACTATTATAAATTATTAGATATTAAATTTTAAGAGATTAATCGAAACATAAAAAATGTCACTTTCAGAAGAGTCACCCTGATATATTCAAATAAATAGTGTCATAGTGTAGAACCTTTGACATCAACATAACCTAAAATTAAATAAAATATTTCAAATAAATTGAAAAAAATTAATTAAAATATATAATGTTATAGTGTACAATCTTTGACATCAACATAACCTAAAATTAAATCAAATAATTCCAATAAATTAAAAAAAATTATAATTCAAATAAATAATGTTATAGTGTACAACTTTTGACACCAACATAACATAACATTAAATCAATCTACATACATGAATTATTATTTTGAAAAAAAAATTGTGTTGATATTAAAAAGTGTTTTCTAACCGTTTAAATTATCACAGATCGAAGTAGACACTACCATAGAACTCAATGGATTAATTTTATCATTAGTAATAATATTGACGTCTTTGAAAGGTCGTAAATTGTTCATTTTGTTAGATTGAAACACGTGTCTGTCTTTATTGAGAAAACATAACCTAAAATAAATTTTTATTTTACATAGATAAATTTTTTGTTAGTATTTTCTAAAATACCTATATAAACATAACATGCACAAGATTAAATTTTCTTCAAAAGCAGGAAATATTAGTATAAATTTCATACTTACATCAAACAATATCCGATCTCGCATATACTAATTGTAAGCACAAGAACTGTCAATTAGTCATTAACCACACCGCACACGTCACGCGCACTTGTGTGAGTATTCACACAGTTACTTCCAATTAAGTAAAGGTGGGCGTGGCCTAATCGCCAGTTGCAAGAGTCTATCCCCGAAAAAGCATAGAACTTATGCAAAAATAGTAGGATGATGTTATGTGCGATCTTCGCATGGCGCCGTTGGATTAAAAGTATAATAAGTATGTAATAAGAGGCTATATGACAAACTTTATTAGCATAGACAAGTTTCATGCTAAAAAGACATACGATTGTACTATAATTACTCAAATTTCATGCCTATATAGCATAGAAAATTTCTGTGCATTAAATGTAAACCTTTCTATACTATAAAAGGCAGATTTTTCTCTCCGTGTAGTTAAAAAACGACATTTCGACGAACTTGACTGGAATGACGTTACATTAGGTCTAAAAAACTTAAAACACGCTTTAATTCTTGACAACCAAATACACTCGAATCTCGTTATAACGAATCTCGATACAACGTTCGCTTGTTATTACGAACACCAAAACTCTTTATATAACGACAAAAATTTGTCCCCTTTACCCCCACCAATTTAAAAAAAAACACGATCGAATTTAAATATGTAAGCTATTAGATTCATCAATTTAAAAAGTTTTTTGTTGCTCAATTAACTTGTATGAGGTTAAATAGTAACCAACTACATACTTAATTAGTTTAACCGCAATATTTCGGTAATTACAAACAAATATTTATTTTTTGAAACCTTGTAATTTCACTTATAAAATAATCAGAAATTACTTACTTTTTTATCCGATTCCATAATTGGAAATTAATATCATTCGTATATGTATACACTAAAGAATGTTTATATTAAATGTCAAACAAATTTGACATATTGTAAAGTTGGTTACAGATAAATTCACGTTTTTAAATAGAATGTGAAGTGGGGGCCCCTCTTGTCATCGTTATATCGAGATTTTAAAGTCCCGACCTTGTCGTTATAACGAGATTTAAGTGTACATTGCCGTATGGCCAATTCTGGAGACTTGCTAGGAAATTTGCCTCAAAACACCATGGCGGACATCTTATAGTTAGCAGGAATATTCCGCGGTGGTGATATCAAAATCACTCTTTGTCACGGAAAAATTGAAGTTCCTGCTGAGAACCTACGCCCAAAAATTATTGCTGAATTTCATGGCAGCCTTATCGGGGGCCATAAGGGCATAACGAAAACCTACCGACGTATCCGTGAGCGTTATTATTGGAATAGGATGCAAGACGAGGTCACACAGTTTGTTCGAGGATGCAAAAGTTGCCTCGAAAACAAACTAGTTAGGGCCCGAACTTGGGAACCTATGCTAATAACAGACACTCCAGCGATTCCTTTCGACAAAGTGTCCTTAGACACTGTAGGGAAATTAAGAACAACCCCTAATGGGAATCGTTATATCCTCACGATGCAGGATAATTTAACAAAGTATTGTATCACAGTGGCTATCCCCGACATTAAAACTACGCCCATTGCACAAGCTGTAGCAACGAATCTTTTCTCTCTGTATGGAACACCACGTTGTGTGCTTACAGATAGAGGGGGAAGTTTCATTAGTTTTCTGATGCGGAAGTTAGAACGAATTTTCGGTAGTAAACAAATCACAACTTCAGGTTACCGCCCTCAAACTAACGGAGCTTTGGATACCGAGTTCGTTTCCGCAAGGCCCTGATTTGGAAACTTACGGTGTATATCTGAGAGATTTAATAGTTAGATTGCACGAGCTTCAGAACTTGGCTGCCCAAAGATTGATCCAAGCAAAAGAACGATCCAAAAGAGCGGTATGATCTGAAGGCTCGGCCTTCTAAGGTTAAGATCGGCGATCAGGTTTACACGTATAAAGAAGTAAGATCCAATAAATTTGATTCTCGTGCTAACGGTCCATATTCTGTAGTCGGATTGACCCAGAATAATAATGTCATTCTGGACGATGAAACTGGCGAACAATTCATAAAACATCTCGACAAGATAATGGTTACCCATTTGTAACCATTATCTCATATCCAAGTCATCACTAAAAGAATTTTTGATTTCAGATAAACAATGATGACGAAAGCATGACTCTCAACAATCCTGTTCCTGTTTCCCCTTTTGACGACAGATGCGGATTTGAGCAAGGGCATAGATGAGGATTAACTGCATGGAGAGGAGTATAACATATCACCACTCAACATCAGTAGTGGAGCCTATTTTGAACATGTGTCAGAAGTCCGGAGATCAACTAGCCAATGGAGAGTGACGGTATTCTTGGACATCGCCAAACAGCAACGACATTTCAACGATTTGAAAGCTCGATTAGAAAGGATGAGAGAATTATGCCTTAAGCAGGAAAGATGGTGCAATGGCCCTCCAGATTCTTTCAATTGGGAAGGCAAATGGGAAATGGTCGCAGAGCTACAAAATCAGTTCCAAATTCAAATCCTAGAACTATAAAACACTAATTCTAGATTTCCCCAAAAACTATCATCTCAATTAAGAATCCGGCGAAGTGTACCACTGCTCGGATTCTTGGGCAAAATTGCAGGGCCTATAGCCGGCGTTCTCAATTATGACGACGGAGAGCGCTATGATGCCGAAATAAGAGACCTTAACGATGCCCAAGCCAATCTTTCACATCTTATCGAGAAGCAGACGCACATTGTCCGATCTCAATTAGATACTCTTCACACGCAGTATCAGCGCCATGACATCCGAATAGGGCAAATTGAACAAGACCTACAAAATCTATCATCTAGATTCGACACTTTTGTACCTATGAAAGAAGAATTATCACGAAGAGATATGGTGTTTTCTATCCTCACCGGAATGAAACTTGGATTGGATCATAACGTTCAAATTACATCCACTATGTTGGACGCAGTACATGATGCTAGACGAGGCTTATTACATCCCGGAATCATCTCTTCCGAACAATTGGAGCCAATCCTACGCGATATTCAAGACAACCTGACAGATGTTCGTTTTCCACTACGTGGTCCCAAGATCAACATCGACGAGCTAATCAGGATAGCGACGACTTCCATTTGGTGCGAATTCGATAATATAAAAATCCTCATCGATATTCCATTATTAGGAAACTATCGCTATCATGCATTCAAGATCCATCCACTCCCTACCATTCAAAAATTGGGGAGCGGACTCCAGAGAGCATATGCACAGTGGTCCGAAATGGAAAATTGCTGTTCACGAGGGGCTACAGCCTTCAATTTTTGATGGATTTGGACATTTTTTTTTTGAAATCTTCAGGGATAAATTCTCTAGGTCTCAGCTTCGCCTGATTTTTGAATTTCATTTTGCAAATTTTTTTATTTAAACAATTGTAATGAAAAATCACCCTACGTTGACATAATTTCTTGTATATTTTTGAAAAAAGAGTTTAAATAAACTATTTAACTATCTTTTCAGTTGCATATGTGGACAAGGATAAAAAATGCACCATAAAAGAATTTTTTTCAATTGTTAGTAACAATTTTTATAAACAAATTGCGGACTTTTTTAAAAATTCACCGGATTCGCTTGAAAATCTTCACTTGGGGGTTTTTGGGGTCGCTGATCACGAATCCGAAGTTAGTTTTTCAAAATTCAAAATGGCGGATCCAATATGGCGGACAACTTTTTTAAAAAGTGATCGGATTCGCTCGAAAATCTTCACTCGGGGGTTTTCGGGGTCGCTGATCACGAATCCGAGGTGCGTTTTTCAAAATTCAAAATGGCGGATCCAACATGGCGGACGACTTTTTTAAAAAGTGATCGGATTCGCTCGAAACTTGTTTCTCGGGGGTTTTCTAGGTCGCTGATAACGAATTTGACATCACTTCTTTAAAATTTACAATTGTTATCATCAATTGTTATAAACAAATACATATAAATAATCAGAAAGTAGAAAAAATTGCTTTTTTGATACAACAATCAAAATAGTAGTTTATACATAGGTCATAATAGAACATTTTAATGTTAGTAACCATTATTATTATTATTATTATTATTGTTGTTATTATTATTATTATTATTATTATTTATAAATAGAATCTATCCCTCGGTGAATATTTAATAATAAATGATACGTTATCGATCTTTCCGAGTCAAGTAAGTTTTCAAAAAACTTACTTGCACACGTATATTGACTTACTTTGTCTAAGGTGCTAATAATTGTCACTCTCTTTTGTCTTCATCGTATTTCGTCTCAGTCTTGTCGAGATCTTCATCAGTAACTAATATAGCTTTGTATAAATCCATCGTGTATATAATTTGACATGTCATAATTTGACATGAAAAATTTTTTTGCGGTAATTGTCTTTTATTTCTTCTTTTGTATATAACTTTGTAAAAATTTATTTTAATTTTTTTTGTAAAAAATTAATTTCTTATTAATAAAAATGTAGTTCTGAAGAGGACAGCGGAGCTGTCGAAACGTCAACAAAATTTGTTGTTTTTTTGAAAACTTACTTGACTCGGAAAGATCGATAACGTATCATTTATTATATTATATTATTATTATTATTAATAATATTTTTATTATTATTAATATCTTCTTACTTTTTGAAAAAATTTTCTAATATATAATTATAAAACCCCCCCGAAATTTTTTCTGGCTACCTCCCTGGGATGTGTAGTTTCTTTTCTTTCCGCTAGGTGGTTGATACTTCGTTTATTTCATTGCTCTCACTGGAGAGGTAAAGCATTTTATTCTATAAAGGAGGCATGCGTTTATCTGAACTGTCGTATAATACATAAGTAT